CCCCTAAACTATGGACCAAATCCCTGTGACACTCTTTTTGCGAACAAAGATTATTTTACACTCTCAACCTTTCTAATGTAGCTAAGACACGCCTTTTTTATTTTGATCACTTTTTTTAGGGAGGTGCATAGTACGCACCAATAAGATTGTAACACACATTATTATATAAAAAATACTTAAAAGTACAATTCTACCCCTAACTATCAAAATATTTTCAATTACTCCATCTTCTTCATCTTCTCCGGCTACCACTAAACCATGGTGATGGCACCACCACCATCAAGACCTCCGAAAGCACTAATTATTTCAGAAATCCACCTCTATCCCAAATACAAAGTTCATCTCCAGTTGTCAGAACTACAATCAAGACCCATTAAACCACCAACAAAGGCTAAGAACAAAATCTCAAAAAAATATGGAGAAAATAACCTAGAAATTCGTACAGCTCATAGCGAAACAACAAGACTATATGATATAGCAATAAACAAACTGTCACGATCTAAATCTAGGTGACCGACACCACGGCACACTACCCGAACCAAGTGAACCAACCATATGATGCACCCAAATCATATGCATGAAAACCAATTTAACTGCGGAAGCTCCTTGAAAATCATATACATTTTCAAGTTAAATGATAAAATATTTTTCAATTCGAAATCACACATGACACCTTTCATAATAATAATAATGAGACTAAGTAAAATAAAATATTTTTATGTATGTCGTATACAACCCCATTACTGCAATCTTTTACAACTATCTATGGAGCCTTTATACCAAAGAATAGAATTAAACACTTGGGCTAATACCCGGATAGCATAAATTAAGAAAAATAACATGATAGCTACCACAAAATAGAGGTGGTGCCTTACCATATATCTCAAGAAGAGAGTCATCCTAGTCCTGACCGCATGCCACGTATCATACCTTATCTTGAAACATGTAAAGTAAGCAAGGTCCTGGAGGAGGGCCCTATAAGGGCACAGTACACCACAACATCACTCAGTAAGTGTCATAGACTCTCTCTAACTTAAGATCTTGGGACAAACTTTATAAAATAATGCACCAATATTTGATATAAAACGATAAGAAATTTTATCAATTCATGACCCTTGTCATTTTAAATAAAAGCCAAGTAAAATATAACCCACAATATAAACTTTTAAAATATTTACATCAATCCAAGATTTTGGATAAAATCATACAAAATCATTCCATTTTCTTTAAGTTATTGAAATCACTTTCGGCTCCTTAAGCCTAAACATTAAAAAAAAGCATCCTTACCTTTCACTGGGAGTACTATACCATCACCGACATAAGAAGGTCAACTAAGTTATGTACATAGTGGCAAGTATCATATACCCTACTTGCTCAGGTCATCTCATCGTAGTGCTGTACGAATTGACTCAGTCATGCTAATAATAGCACAAAATAGTACTCTCTCTAGGGAGAGCACTCTGCCGTACTCTATACCACAAAGTGGCCATCTACGCTTATGCCGGCATGTGTAGTTTCATGACAACGAACACAATATATCTGAATTCAATCTCGGTGAACACAAGTAACTCCCAAAACATTTGATACTTCAAAAATAGATTCATAGCATAGTGACTTCAAAAGATCTATTTTTATCAAATCATAACATTTGTAGAAAATCTAAATCATTTGAACAAAAATTAAATAAACCATCTTTTACATGCTAAAGCCTTTAGCAATTTAACATCAATCTTAAAAGATACCACAAGTGCTATTCTGCTCATCAATTTCCAAAAGAGATACTTTCCATGAAAACTTATCTTTGGCATTCAAATATGTATACTCTTGTCAATACATAAGTTTTGATAAAAACTTATAACATTTACCTTGAGTGTCATTTTGCCAACAAGATTTAAAATAAAATTTTACAAAATAGCATGACGCTACATATGCAACATAATATTTTAGGGCATGGAGACATCCGTGCTTGTTTGTCCCCACAAGCACGCAAACACATTTGCAAACAACTTAAGTATTAACTCGAAACATGCTTTTAGGGAAAGTCCCTCAAGAAGAGTATGTTTTAATCAACTTACCTCGCTTTCGCTTTATTAACATTCACAAGCTTTCAATCCTCTTCCATCATTCCAATATTAATTAAAATACTCAAACATCACCAACAAGTCGATATCCTACTTACATCAAAATATTGATCAATATCCATATATGACTCATAAATTGGCTACAAGCCTCCAACAACTCAAATCGCCAAATAGATTTACAAGCTAGACCATTCAACTTCATCCTCATATTTTAATACCCATTCAAAGTCATTAATGATACTACATCAGTTGTCCAATGCCACCAAGTTACTATTTATCAACTTCCATACTCAAAACTTGCATAATATACAATTGGGGTGATTACTTAGTTGATCACTTCCATCTTTTGCTAACAAATAATTCCATAGGTTCATTGTATTCAATCAATTTTATCCCCAAGATTCACCATTCATCTTCTCTCTTATTTTCTCAAAAGTACTATTCATGCAATGAACTAGAATTTTATAATCCAATCTTTTAACCATTAAAACTTGTAACAAATGCTTCAAATACTTCTAACTACTCATAATAAACGAGTTTGAAGCATTGAAATTACCTCTAGTAGATCAATATTGAAAAATCACAACTTTGGTGATTTTTGTGTTCTTGAGGATTTAATGATGAAATATAGTATTTGGATGTAAGAATGACTTTAGAACTCATGTATATTGAGTAAGAATCAAACCAAAATATCATTAACAACTTACCTTAGTTGATTGGACTTGATTTGAGCTTAAAATCGCCCCTTCACCTCATGAACCCTAACCCCTAATACTCAAAATACTCTCTTCCCTCGATTTTGTACTTATAGGCCCAGATTTCTGGGTTTCGGATGCGGCCCCAGATGCTTCGCATTCGCAGTTCACTCCTCTTCGAAGCTCGGATGTGGACTCGGACGCTATTGTAGTACTTCACTGCCAGCCTTCGGTAATTTGATCATAACTTCTTGTAGGAATGTCCAAATGACGAACGATTTGAAGCATTAGAAACTAGACTCGAAGAACTTTTATTTGATAGGTTGTAATACACATTACTCCTTATATATATCTAGATATTCTCATCTAAAGTTAGGTCATGTGCGTACTTAATTGGAACTTTAGTCTATTAAGTAATTTCCAACTTGACTTGGACTTAGGGCTATCCTTAGACTCTATATCACTTATGATATGTCTCGTACACTTATTATTATATCCAATTAATATCCATCATATTAATAGTCCTCACCTACATACAAAATAATATAATAAGCACACATCAACTTTCTTAATAGAGCTTAAGCACTTCGAAATTTTTCCGGGGTGCTACACAAACACACAACCCTAATTTCCGTAAAAACAAAATCTTTACCACAATGATATTAAAATCACAATTCAATATCTAAGAATTTAAGCTAATTACCAAAAACCAGAAACAAAATCAATAAAATTATTGTTCAATTTCTGCCCGCCCTGATTACGATTCCATTTAATTAATAAAGCCACTGTTTAGCTTCTGATTTAAGAAGAATTTAGTAAGGAGTATGTGGTAACAATGGAGTCACTAGCGTAGAAATGTAGCTATGGAATAGCTATTGGGAAGAAACGAAAAGGAAGAAAATTTGGGTAGAAGACTAAGGGAGGTATAGAAAAAGGGAAAAGGATTTAAGAAAGAGGAAGACGTGAGGGAGAGGGTGTGGCAGAGGCTAACAGGGGACGACGGTGTTCAGGTGGGGGACAACGAATTGGGGGATGAAGGGCCTGATACCTTTTTTCTCTTTTCTTTTTATCTATTAAAATAAGAAAAATAAAGAAAATCGAATAAAATCTTGACACGTGGGCTTATATAAGGATTTGGACAGAATATATAGAGGTTTTATGCACTTAGTCTTTTTTGTGAACTACGCGCGGGTCATTTGGCAAAAGTAGTGTGTCTTAGACACACATTGAAAATGTTGAGTGTGTAAAATAAATTTGTCCCCAAAAAGTATATCGCAGGTATTTGGTCCATAGTTCAGGGGTAAACTATGTAGGCGTTTGGACATAGTTGATTTTTTTTTTTTTTGAAAAAAATAGTATTTGTAGTTAAGTTGAAAAATAGTGTTTGAAATTTGCAATTATGTATGAACATGTATTTCACTTGAAAAATGTTACAATTTTGTGAGTGAGGAAAATTTTATTTTTGAAAATTTTGAAAACTTATTTTCGGAATTTTTTCAAAAACTTACAAAATTTCATAGACAAACACATTTAAAAAAAAAATAAATTCGATTTTTTACGGACAAACGAGTCCTATATATTTGCCTAAATTATATTTAGCCTATTAACAACTTTGAAATTTCATATAAGAGAAGGTTAATAAAAAATACGCCATCTGTCTCATATTATGTGTCGTGTTTCTCTTTTACACGCCTCTTAAGAAATATTAATTAGAAAATAGATTGGACTATTCTACCCTTATTTATATCTTAAGATATACTTTCTTCATTGAATATTTATTTTATTTATGTGTTATCTCCATCTTCAAAAACAATGTAATAAGGGTAAAAAAGGAAAAAATAATTAATTTTGTCTTGAAGTTCTAAAATGATAAATAATTTGGAGACAACTATTTTTAGTAACTACGACCGTTAATATGAGACGGAGGGAGTAATACTTTTAACTTTTATAGTATTGGGCTCGTGCTTGGCGCAGACCATCGCGACCTAGTGTAATTAAAGGTTTTTTTTTCACTTTTAGTCTGCGTCCGATATTATTTACATTCACTAACTGAAAGAATATATAAAATTTATATAATTTTTATATATATAACATACAGAATATATACATATACAAAATATATATTTTTTCGGCTATATTTTAAGAGCGGCTATAATGTCATTTTCCCGTAATTTAAATCCAGTTTTAATTTGGCTTTGGTTTATACATTATTTACGAAAAAACTGGGGGGGCACGTGAAACAACGGCTGCTCCTGTTTTCCCTCGTTTATTTCCAATCCTCCATGGATCCCCTTCTCGCTTACACCTCCAAAACCCTAACTTCTGCATGAATTCTTAGTCCATAAGCTTCCAGTTCCAACAATGGAGGTCGAAAATTCAATTGCCGACCACAAGCTCTGCGGTTTCTTCCGTACTGCAGTTAAAATTTCACCACAACCGCACTCCTCCGAGCTCCGTCGCACTCCCCCTGTAAATTCCAAGTGCCATATAGCCGGCGACGGTTCCAATGTCCACTTTGTGTCTGAAAACGACGTCGTATTGTCCCCAATCGGTTCTCGGGAGGAGCAAAACGGCACCGTTCCGACGACGAAGAAGTGGAGGAGAATTAGAATGGTTCATGGTAGTTTAAGCGTGGTGCACCAGTTACACAAGCTTGTAATGCAAAAATGCTTGAGAATTGTTGCTAGGGTTGTTGAGGTTGTGGATCGCGGCGGTGGTGATGATAATGATGATGATGAAGTTAGGGTTGTTGTTTTAGTGGACGTATACTTGCCTATTGCTTTGTGGTCCGGTTGGCAGTTCCCTAAGTCTGGTCCTGCTGCTGCCGCGCTTTTCCGCCATGTCAGGTGCGCATGTTCCTGCCGTTATTTGAGAGATTTGCACAAAAGTACAGCCCAACACCCTACATTGCACCTACATAGCATGTTTTTGCAGCCGCATAACAGTGTTATTTGACACCATCAACCATTTTGCATATTTTTCTACATATTAAATACTAAATCATCAAAACTTTAAAGAATATTAATGGAAAAAATATGATTTTGATTAGGATATCGGAGAAACGTTCAAATCAATGACAATGCAATTAATCCTCTATATAATTATCGTGGGACCAGCTCGGTATATTAGTCGAAGTGCGTGCAAGCTGGCATGTGTAGCACTGTCATAAAACAAAAAGAAAAGAAAAAAAGATAAAGTTCAAATGTACAATTTAGCTGGAAAGAAATAGAAGATGTTCTTAGGAAAGAAGGAATCTCTAGGTGTTGTAAAGTTTAAATATCCAAGAATTAGTTGTGTTGGCAGCTGGCACGCACCTGACTAAATCTACGGGTACTTGCTACATCCCACTAGACCCTATACCCTAAAAAAATATATTTGTACTTATCAAAAAACAAAAATATATATGTAATCAAGAAAAAAGTAACAAATCTATTCATAGTGTTTTCCTTAACAACTAATACACTTATTTGCCGATTATATTTGTTGTTTAGTGCCGCTTAATTCAATAAAACTCATGGGCAATGAGGCACATGTCTTAATACCTAGCCTTACATTGAAGCACAACTTAAGCAAGGCAAAGCGCCCTCCCTGAGCTTTTCTTAGCTTCATCGCACCTTAAATGAGCCTCTGACTAAAGGATGAAATGTGTAAAACTTTGTGAGCACAAAATGGAAAATCCAACTTGCACATAAAAGCAATTGCAACATGTGTGTCAGAAAATTTAACCACATTGTACTATTTTCTATGAGAGGGCTACACCCTTTTGGATGCCCCAAAGAAAAACTAGAGATAGAGATCCAAGAGACGTCAAGTTTTATAGATGAATTCCTGTGAGGCGTCAATTTTATGAGTAAGCAAGATCGGGTTCATATTTTACAAAGGCATTCTAATTGTGTACTCTATACTTTTGATGTGCAAGGATACAATTAATTTATTTATTAAGTGGGAACTATACTATGTTTTTAAAAAAATACTTATAAACTTAGTGAACTATTAATTTTTGTGCCAAGCCAGGATCATCCAAAAAGAATATATGGTTGAGGTTCTCATTTTCACCTGGTTATACCGTTATTGGTCCTTTTAATTGATAGAAAACTGTAAGTTTAGTGGAAGGACCTATTCAGCTCTATCGCTAGTCAAGCTACTGATTGCTCATGTGGGTAATTAGGGAACAATAATGGATGATTAACGTTTAAATATACCATTGACACGATAGTCAATCATTTTTTCAGAAATTCAGAATATCAGCAGTACATTAGTAGTGTAGAATAGGTGCTAATGACTTCTCTTCTTTTTCGTTCCTTCCTTTTTAGGTGATGAAGGCTTTAATCTGACAAAATCAAGAGGAAAAAACTTTCCGTTTTATTTTTGCTTTATTATAGTTGGAGTAATTGTGACTTCACTGTGCAATTGCAGCCAAGATCTTATTAAAAAATAATTTTAAAAAGTGTAATTACAGAGATGGACTAAGATATTCTCTTCTATTAAGTATTAGGCTGTCCGAATTTGCAGTAAAGTAAATGATTAATTATTTTAACACCATTACGCCCAGTGAACTGATAAGCTTTCACCAGTGGTACGTAGAATTTCTTGGTGAGTTTGGAGTTTTTCAAAATTGAGTAGCATTTAATTGTCTGTGCAGCTAATGCTAATTTACGTCTTAAATATTTGTTGTAACTGTGCTGACTATGCTAATGAATGTTCAAATATTTCTTTACAGTTGTGACTGGGAAGCTAGGAGTTCTATGCTTCAGTCTGCTAAGCTTGGTGTTGAAAAGGATTTTAGTATTTGGAATCTGTCTGACTGTCATGTTATAGGATGCAAACAGCACTGCAGTGCACCTGACCCTTCCAAGAAAAAGCTCTTTGAGCTCCATGAAATTTTTAAGAGCTTACCAAGTGTAGCAAAGAGGGGAAATCCCGATTCTTTAAGAGTGAATCCCCTTGATAGTAGTAGATCGGGTATATGGGTGGTAACAGATGATATTTTGATCAATATTCTTTCTTCACTTTGTCCTGTTGATCTTCTAAGGGTCTCTGCAACATGTCGGCATTTAAGATTTCTTGCTGCATCAATCATGCCATGTATGAAACTTAAATTGTTTGCTCATCAGCAGGCTGCAGTTGACTGGATGTTACAGCGTGAGCACAATGTTGAATTATTACAGCACCCACTGTACATGGATTTTGTCACTGAAGATGGGTTTGCTTTTTATATAAATGCTGTTTCTGGTCAAATAGCCACAGGTCAGGCTCCTAAAATCAAGGATTTCCATGGGGGAATGTTCTGTGATGAGCCTGGCCTCGGTAAAACTATTACTGCTCTTTCTCTCATTCTGAAGACTCAGGGAACACTGCCAGAGCCACCAGATGGTGCACAAATTATCTGGTGTATGCATAATACTGACCAGAGGTGTGGTTATTATGAGCTTAGTAGTGAAAATACAATCAGTTCGGGGTTTTCATCAGCAAGTAGAGCTACTGGACTCAATGGCCGTAGGGGACATTTATCTTTAGATAAACTAACCCCAACAAAAAGCTTAGACTTCCCCACTTCAATTGGATCCACGGTTGTTAATTCAGCTGATCACATAGCAGCTGCAGAAATTAGTTCATGTACAGTCATGCGCTCCACTCCAGCTAGGTATGCTGTGAGGTGCACCAGTAACTTTAGCCAGATAAAAAAAAATCTTATGTATGCATATGAAAATGAAGGGACATCTCTCTTTCCTGAGAGGAATTCTAGGAAAGACTCGAAAAAAAGAAAGCGTGCTTCCAACAACCAACAAAGAAGCTTGACATATGCGAAACCTGGTTATTCAAAAAAAAATTCTCGTGGTAGTAAGAGGTTTTGTGAGCCTTCTGCTGAGAACTATGTGATCAACGAAACCTGGATCCAATGTGATGCTTGTCAGAAATGGCGGAGGCTTACAGAAGCTGGTGTTGTAGATGCTACTACTGCATGGTTCTGCAGTATGAATACTGATCCATTATATCAGAGTTGTCGTGTTGCAGAAGACTCTTGGGATCATAAGCAGCATATCACTTGCCTTCCAGGATTCCATACCAAAGGAACACCTGGGGGACTGGAAGAAAATATATCATTTTTTACCAGTGTGCTGAAGGATAATTGCTCAGTTATGGATTCAAAAGCAAAGAAGGCTCTAATTTGGTTAGCTAAGCTGTCACCGCAGAAGCTGTTAGAAATGGAAACAATTGGGGTGGGGCAACCCGTCATACAGACCTCAGTAGGAGTTCCTTATGCCTATCATAAAATATTTCAAGCCTTTGGTCTTGTCAAGAAGGATGAAAAGGGTACAACTAAGTGGTACTATCCTAGAGGTCTTGTGAACCTGGTATTTGATTTAGATGCGTTAAGGGTAGCTCTATGTAAGCCTCTGGATTCATTTAGGATGTATTTGTCTCGAGCTACTTTAGTTGTTGTTCCTTCAAATCTAGTTGATCATTGGAGAGGTCAAATTGAGAGGCATGTAAGACAAGGGACGTTGAGAGTTTTTGTCTGGACTGATTATAAAAGGCCTTCTGCACATAATCTTGCTTGGGATTATGATATAGTTATAACTACATTCAGTCGTCTAAG